TGAGCCGACGTGTGACAGTTTCATTGTCACAGGTCGGCTCGAACTCAGAGGATGAGTGATTTTCACTCACCTCATAGTTCTCCTTTAAATCTCTAACGGCGCATTCACACCACCTCCAGACCAGGCCAGATTGTTTCTGGACCTAAAATGCATCCCAATCTTTCCCTATGCTCTTCTTGGCCTCAGTTCACACCATCAAAGTCAGTTCCAGACCAGAAAAATACTGCGTGTCACATTTTGTCTGGTCCACACACAAACGCGTCAAAAAACGCACCGCAATCGGGAGAAAAAACATTTTTTTGGGCTGGTTTGGATAATCTCATCACCCCTGGACTTCCTTCTTCTGTGGAGAGAGAGATTTGTGAAGATAGGAACCATCGTTCCAGATCTGGTCCAGAAAATGGTGTGAACCTGCCCTTAGGCTACATGCACATGGGGCTATTATGTGTGGCTGGGGATTTCGGCAGCAAGAACCTAGAGGTGTGTCCAGTGTGTCCGTTTAAGCAAATGACAGTCTGATTACCTGCAGATTGAGATGAATACTTATTTCTGGATGCAATCCATCTGCGACCAGGGACAAGCATCTATCGCATTCCGCAGGTCATTGTTCCATGTATGATTACATGTGAACAGCCATGGACGGATGCGGCTGCTACCAGCTTGTCATTCACTTGAACGAGCAAAGCGGCCACATCTGTAAGCAACCACCTGGAATTCCTGCCGCAAGAATCCAAAAGCTCTTTTGCAAAGATGTCCCAGCCACATCCCTGTGTGCATGAGACCTTAGTGGGTAAAATTAAAAATGCCCATGTGGTTCAGCCCTTATACTGTAGTGCTTTACTGATGTGCGATACTGCCCATGAATACACTGCTTAATCCACAGATGTGAAATATTCTAATTAACGCTTTTTTTTGTAAGAGTAACCAACTTCCCAATGTCATTGTCCTGTAAGGTAGGGTATATCGCCACCTGCAGGAGTAGGACGCTAGGCACATAACAAAAAGACAAGACAGCCTAGGGGCGGCCCCTGCTGGTGCCCCAACCCCCCACTTGCTGACAAGTCTCCAGTAAGTAACAAGCAGTTAGAAGTGCACACCCCATAATAAGAGGGCGGGACCTGTGTCCTTCAATGAACGGAGAGAAAAGGATTTTACAGTGAGTACAAAAATCCTATTTTCTCTCCCGTTCATTGAAGGACACAGGGCAACAGATCGTAGATCCTGAATGGTAGGGACGTCACCAAGCAGACCCCAATGAGGGATGGGCAACAACAACAACAACCCAAAGACCCCTCAAAGAGCCGTCTGCAACACTTTGCGCCCCAAACCAGCATCCGCCGATGCCAAAACATCCACCTTGTAAAACTTAACAAAAAGGTGTGAACAGAAGACCATGTAGCAGCCTTACAAACCTGAGAAACAGAGGCCCCACGACGGAAGGCCCAGGAAGCCCCAACAGCCCTAGTAGAATGGGCAGTGACAGGGAAAGGAGGCTCATGCCCCTAAAGGCGTACGCCTGAAGCACAACATTACAAATCCACTGAGAGATGGTAGCTGCCGACGCGGCCTGGCCCTTACGAGGGCCCTCCGTGAGCACGAACAAGGAGTCGGTCTCGCGGAAAGAAGCCGTAGCTTCCAAGTAAACACGGAGAGCGCGAACCACATCCAAACAGTGGAGCGCACGTTTCTTCCAATGAACCGGCTTCTGGCACAGGGAAGGTAAGACAATGTCCTCATTCAGATGGAATGCCGACACAACCTTTGGCAGGAAAGCCGGCCGAGGACTCCGAACCGCTTTGTCCCTATGCAAGACCAGCAACGGGGACTTGCAGGACAAGGCAGCCAACTCAGGCACCCGCCGAACAGAAGTGAGGGCCACCAAAAAGGCCACCTTTTGTGACAAAGACATGAGCGGAATCTCCCGAAGAGGTTCAAACGGAGATTCCTGCAATACCAAAAGTACCAGAATCACCAGGCAAAATAGGCCCGCCACGTGCGATTGAAAAGCGTTCCAGAAACACCTTTGCACGCCCTGAGCATACTGGAAACGACCGCATCGCACAATCCCCGGTCCTTCAGGACCCGGCTCACAACAGCCACGCCGTCAAAGCCAGCGACTGTAAAGAAGGATGGAACACAGATCCCTGGGATAGAAGATCCGGGCGCAGAGGCAGCCACACAGGGCGTCCACCATGAGCTGAACCACATCCGCGTACCATGCTCACCGAGGCCAGTCTGGGGCCACGAGGATGACGGCCTTGGCACCGATCCGGCGCAGTGGAGGGAAGGCCTAAATCAGACCGTAATGACCCAAGGGGCCACCAGGGCATCCACCGCCTCCGCCCAGGGATCCAGAGCCTGGGCCACTAACCTGTCCACCTTTCGGTTGAACCGAGATACCAGAAGATCCGCCTCCGGCGTCCCACAGCGAATACAGAGCTGCTGAAAAAACTTCGGGTGCAGTGACCACTCACCCGGGTCCACCGACTGTCGACTGAGGTAGTCGGCCTGCCAATTGGCTACCCCCGGGATGTAGACCACAGAAAGAGCCAGAACCCGATTCTTCACCCAGGAGAGAATCTCTGACACCTCTCTGCCCTGGGTGGTTGATGCACACCACCGTGGTGGCGTTGTCCGACAGGACCCGAACCGCCAGATCCCGAAGCCCAATAAAGGAGAAAAAGGCGAAGCGCCCGAAGTTCCAACACATTTAAAAATCGACAGACTGGACTCCTACGGCAACCAACGACCCTGCACGCTCAAGGAGCCCAGGACTCCACCCCAGCCCCAAAGGCCGGCGGCCGTGGTGACTACCGTTCAGTGCACAGGAAGGAAAGACTTCCCCCGCACCAAGGCCGGAAATTGAAGCCACCCCCCTGGCCGCAATCCAGAACCAGGCCCAGATACCTCAGGCGTGGAGAAGGCACCAGACAAGACTTCCGGAGGGTCAGGAGCCACCCGAACTCCTCCAGGGATCGCACCGTGACCCCCAGAGCCGTCACCAGAGAAGAATGCGACTGCTCGCACAAGCAGATCGTCCAGGTAGCCCACAATCGAAACCACCCGACAGCACTATGTCCTCCACCACCACCACCACCCACTAGCTCACTCACTGCCCAGGACACTGCCACTCATTTCAAAAACAAAATAGATACAATTCAGGATCAGATCGCCACTGTCCAATCAACGTCCCCTATTAATGTACCAGACCCTCCCTCACACTATTTACTTTCCTCTTTTGTCCCTGTCACCACTGAGGATGTTACTTCGGACCTCGCCTTTCTTCCCCACATCCAGTCACTATCCAAGCCCCCGCCTTCACCTTCATCCACTCCCTTGTTATCTCTCGTCTTGACTATTGCAACTCCCTCCTCATTGGCCTTCCACTACACAGGATATCCCCACTTCAGTCTATCATGAATGCAGCTGCTAGACTCATTCACTTGACCAACCGCTCAGCGTCTGCAACCCCCCTCTGTCAATCCCTGCACTGGCTTCCACTCGGCCAGAAGATAAAATTCAAAATATTAACAACCACTTATAAAGCCACCCACAACTCTGCCCCCGGATATATATCAGACCTTGTCTCAAAATATCACCCTAACCGTCCACTCCGCTCTTCCCTAGACCTCCTGCTTTCCAGCTCCCTAGTCAACTCCTCCCATACTCGCCTCCAGGACTTCTCTAGAGTCTCTCCCATCCTCTGGAACTCTTTACCCCAACCTGTCCGTCTATCTCCCACCTTGACTGTCTTTAGGCATTCCCTAAAGACTCATCTCTTCAGGGAAGCCTATCCCACCTCAACCTAACCACTGAACCATCACATTCTCAAATAATTCATCCCCTCACAGCTACCTCCTCATGTATCATTTCCCCCTCCTCTTTTAGATTGTAAGCCCTCAGGGGCAGGGCCCTCCTTACCATCTTGTCTTGAATTGTATTGTAATGTCTTCCTTACATTGTAAAGCGCTGCGCAAACTGTTGGCGCTATATAAATACTATGTAATAATAATAATAATGAAGGTAGGCATCTTTGATATTGATGGAGGCCAGCAGAGGCCCCGACGAAGCCAGGCTACCACGGACCGGATCGACTCCATCCGGAACCAGCGGACCCGCATAGCGGTGTTCAAACCTTTGAGGTCCAGGATGGGCCGAAGCCCCTTTTTCCCAGGCATGGTAAACAGGTTGGAAGAAAACCCTTTGAACCTATCTGAGGACAGAACAGGGATGATCACCCCCCCGGGCCAAAAGGTCCGCCACAGCGCAATGGAGATCCGCCAACCGTGGAGGAGAAGTCGCATGTTGGACGGGAAGAACCTGTACCCCTGACGGGACAGAGTTCAATATTGTAGCCCGAAGATACCAGCTCCCGGACCCAAGCGTCGGTGAAGTGGGCCAACCAAAAATCCGCAAAGAGCCCAAGGCGCCCCCCCACTCTTGGAACCAGAGCCGTGGTGCGACCTTCATGCGGATAGGGGCTTGCCGGCGGGCTCGTCAGACTTAGGCAGCCACGGACGCTTGGCAGATCGGGACGAGGAGGACTTGTCAAATGTGCAGCCCTTGTCGGAGGGGGCCGAAAAAGCCGCTTGTGATCAGAGAAAGTGGGCCCCGACTACCGGCACTGCACCTTCATGCGCGCCAAAAACTTGTCTCACACTAAGGTTAAAAACAGAGGTTTGGATACACGTCTTCTGCAGAAAAATCTACGATCTGTTGCCCTGTGTCCTTCAATGAACGGGAGAGAAATGGGGGAATTTATCAAAACTGGAGCAGAAAGAATATGGAGCAATTGCCCATAGTAACCAATCAGCTTCTCTTTTTCATTTACAAAGCTTAACTGAACAAACTGAAGAGAGAAGATGATTGGCTGCACTGTGCGAATGCTCCACTTTTGATAAATTCCTCCAAATGTGATCTACTTAGAAATAGTCTCTAGAGACATTTTCCCTGATCAGGCGGGACCATGACAAAGTATGACCGGACAATTTGGTGTATACCTTTTGCTCGCTGAAAAGCTCCTGCTTGCGTTTCCTCTTCTCTTTTAAGAGGGCCTTCTCTCTGTAAAGAAAAGTGTTCCATTGTGTTTTAGTGTTTACAGAAGTTATCAAAACTTTCTTTAAAAGCAGTCATACTAAACAATATAAAACTGAAATAGTCAACATGAGGGTTTATTAGATTTTGGTATGAATGAGATGGATTGTGCTGTACACAGAATAGAATATACTTAGAAGGAGGTGATTTTATTGTAACTGTATTTACTATATTTACTGGAATGCCATAAATCTTTACCTGAGCACATGCATGCTAATACACATGTTCACTGCACTAAGGCTCATGGCATTCTGAGTGCACTATATATTTCCTAGGTATCACACGGGTAAAATATTTATTTTGTTTTACATTACATTACTTAAGACTGTGTGCAGGAGAGCTGCTCACAATCACAGCCTTAATGCTACTTGCTTACATATCCTGAGAATGGGTTTAAAAGCAGTCCTGCTGCACACAGCCTCGGTGCTGTCATTTGGAAGAAAGACATTGCTTTTATTAAAAGCATACTCCAACTCTTGGAGCATATTTCATGTTAAATCCATATCTAGGGTGCAACATGAAACACAGTCACATTAACTGCTCGTTTGTGTCTAGGTCTGAAAACAAAAGTTAAACTCACCCAATCCTTAGAGCCGGCTTGCTATTAGACTGGTCTTTACAGCATCTCTCCCCCTCTGTTGCAGCAGTCTAGGAATCTTCAAGTCATCATGTGTACTGAATGTGAGAAGGCTGAGGGCCATACCACTACTGCAGCAGAGGAAGACAGACTGGAGGAAGCTGAGATTCAGGAGAGTATAACTTTTTATTTTCACAAATGAGCAGTTAACCCTTGCTGTGCAGGGGTAGCCCCACAGCAAGGGTTAATAATACCTTTGCTTGGAGTTTTCTTTAAATGCTGCACAAGAACATAAAACCATAAGGAAGCATATTTATTTGCCAAAGCACATTTATGAAATCTACAAAAAGAATAAAAGGGCCTTGCTTAATGTTGCAGGACTGACTGTACTACTCTGTATGTAGTATGCAATGTGGTTGCTATGGAAAACACAGCCATTATATCTTTCACACTCTTTACATTAAGTCCATAGTGAATTTACCCCCTTCAGCCATTCATACATCTGATTTTATTTCCTGATCCGTGCTGGTTAAGGGACCACTACCTCCACCCTGCTCTACAATTCTATATCCTGAGGATGGGAAGATGCAGCCACAGGCACATGGAGCAGGAGGGACAGTTACCTCTTGGCCACATCCCTCCTCACACGGTCGCTCTCCTCCGCCCGGCTTCTAGCATTCTGGAAAGTGACCTCGTCCGGAGCCTCGTCATCTTCACTATCTAACTCGTGTTCTGGAGTCATGCTGCCACCACAGAACACACAGCTCAGCTGAGCACAGGAAGCGGAAGAGCGCACAACGGAAGTAAAGCACGCAACCTGATGGCTATTCCCTGCACAGCGACCCTTGCCGGCCGGCTGACCGAAATGAGCGATAACGTAACTGCACACTAGAGCGCCGAGAATGAAGTGCGCTAGTTGCAGGAATTCCCTACACAGCGACCCCTGCTGGCCGGCTGACCAAAATCAGCGACAAAGTAATGCTAAGCCCTATCACAAAGTATACTTGAACGTCCCCTCTTCCGCACAGCGACACCTGCTGCCCAGGCTGACCGACACGCGGTCTAGTACACATTGCCTGCTGGAAGGTCACCTCTTCCGCACAGCGACACCTGCTGCCCAGGCTGACCGAGACACGGTCTAACACACATTGCCTGCTGGAAGGTCACCTCTTCCGCACAGCGACACCTGCTGGCCAGGGTGACCGAGACGCGGTCTAACAACACACACTGCCTGCTTGAAGGCCACAGCGACCGGGAACTCTAAGCGACATGTTGTATTCATTGGGTTTCCCATAGTGACCCTCTTCAACTAATGCAGTTCTCTGACGTGTGACTAAATTTATACCTCCCGACTTTCTGAGTCAGAAACGGTGCTGCACATTTCCTCCAGAACATTAGGCCAAGATGTGTGTGCCTCACATTACGCCCAGGGGGTCTATTTATAAACAATTTGAAGAGTCATTGCACCTGCAAATCTTTGTGATTGGAACATTCTTGTTTTCTTTATTAGACAAATATAACTTCGAACGTCATCTTGTAACACCGTGTTATGGCCACTAGATGGAGCTGAGGAGCATAGGAAATAAAAACTTATAGAAGAACTCGGGCAAATAAAATCTTAACACTTGCAGTGGGGCTAATCCCGCATTAAAATGGTTTAGTGCTTGTTTTGTCCAGGGAGCTAAATTAATAGAGTTATACTCACCCGATCCCAGCTGGCTCCTAGACTGGTCCCTTCAGCCTCTCCACCCCTCCGATCCAGCAGTCTAAGGTCCTGTGAGTGGTCATGTCCAATACAGTGTAAAGAAGGTAAGGACACCGAGGGATATTCCAGTTTGTCTGAGGAGACAGGCTGAAAAGTGGCGTCGCTACAGGGGGGCAATTGCCCCCCTAGGTTATTGCTTGCCCCCCGCCAGGGCCGGACACAATCAGCCTGATTGTGTTCAGCCCGCATGGCCGCTATGCCGGATGCAGTGGCGTAACATAAGCCCCCCCCTATGGGGCAGTGCAGGATCCCGGTGTTAAAACACCGGGTCCCGCACTGCCGACTCAGTAAGGGGGCGGGCTCTCCCAACCGCGTCCCTAGTAACAGGCGGCGGGAGAGAAGTGAGTCACATGCCCCGCCCCCTGCAGTGAACACAGAGTTTGCCTGCGATCCTGCACCGCTGGCTGGGTGAGTCAGAGCCGCTGGGGTGGAAGGGACAGGGTCATGCTCTGGATTATAAGAGATTATTGAAATTTGCATTGAAGGGTTGTCGGCGTTCAGAGCTCTCATAGCACGAAAACTAATCCAGAAGTTAAAGTTTATGGTAATTTTTTTGCAAAGTTTTATTGTTTTTTTTCTAAGTCAAACACATATGAGCACAAACGAATATAATATTGGTTAAACAGTACAAGAAGAAAATAGGGCAGTATAACATTAGGCTTACAAAATTACTCTATAAACAGCCATGAACAGGCTGTTTATAGAGTTATGTGCTTTTGTGGGGGAGGTGCAAGGGTTATGTGCTTATGTGCTGTTGTTTCATTCAATTAGAAAAGTGGATTATAATGGGAAACGTTACACTGTATTGTTCGCTATTATAATCTATTTCTGTGGTTAAATGATTACATACAGGGCTTCTGTTCTATCAAAGTTTGTGACTACGTTAGAATGTGTGACCGGTCGCGTTGTCGCACATTTTAACGTAATCCAGCCCATTTTTTTTGGCGGTGGAATGTGTGACGGCCATTGGGTCAAGCATTTCAACGCTTTCTCAGCTGTTCCAGGGCAGCTCTGAGGTAGCTGTGCGGGGTTAATATCGGCTCTGGGGTAGCTGTGCAGGGTTAATATCGGCTCTGGGGTAGCTGTGCGGGGTTAATATCGGCTCTAGGATAGCTTGCGGGGTTAATGTCTGCTTTGGTGTAGCTGTGCGCGGTTAATGTCGGCTCTGGGGTAGCTGTGGGTGGGTTAATGTCGGCTCTGGGGAAGGTGTGCGGGGATGTTTTGACTGTGGTATCTTATGTGCCCCCCCCCTATATATTGTTCCTAGAGTCGCCACTGAGGCTGAAGGAACTGGTCTAGGAGCCAGCTGGGATAACGCTGTTATGTTTGCTCCCTAGGCAAAATGAGCACTTAACCCTTGCAGTGCAGGGGTAGCCCCACTGCAAGGGTTTTGATTTTATTTGATTTGATTTCTTCTTTAAAAGAGAACTATGGGCCAACCTTTTTTGGCCATAGTTCTCTTCAGGGTCACAGAAGGACATATCCTAATGTCCTGCGGTGACCCAAAACTCAGTATATAGCGGGCTATTGCACGCTATATACTGAGAGTGCAGAGCCAGGGCGGATTCCAGGGATTCCCAACCTAAAAGAAGTAATTTCATGGAGGTGCCCTTCTCATTTCAGGAAGGTGCCCTCTGCCCCCCCTCCCCCCATCCGCAGAGGGGGAAGTTCAACAACAAGGAAGAGAGCACCCCTCTGAAATGACGGCAGATAGCAGGGGAGCTAATGCTACCCTTGCTATCTGCAGTTTTTTTTTTAGTATTCTGACAGCTGCTGCCGTCAGAATAAAAAAAATAAACGGCATAGGAATGATTAGCTAGGCTGCTATTGGCTATTTCAATTTGCAATAACCTATAGCAAGCCGGCTATTGCAACTGCCCTCTGCTGCTGACAATCAGCAGAGGAGGACCAGATGGAGAACTTCATGTCCACCTCTGCTGATTGACAGCAGCAGTGGGCGGGTGCAATAGCTAGTCTGCTATTAGCTATTGCAAAGTGAAATAACAATCTAGCTATTCATTCCTATGCCATTTTTTTTTTCTGACGGCGGCCCCCGATGTCAAGAAAAAAAAAAACCACAGGGAAAGGTTTCCTCTGCTAGATAAAGCAGAGTAAACCTTTCTGGGATAAAATGTTTCTCTCCCGGGTGTCCGGGAGCTGCTATCTAATAGCGCGAGACTCCCGGAACGTCCGGGAGAGTTGAGATGTCTGGAATCCTGACAATATTGTCGAGATCATCCATGCTGGCTGATTGACAGCTGGCTCTCAGTCAGCGCTGGAGGATCGGAGAGGGGAATCCCTGTGGGGAGCTGTGACTGACCGTCACCGCTCTCTGCAGGGAGATAATTGTAAAGTCGGCGATCAGCGGTATATCTTTGCTGACTTTCCGATCAATAGAGCTGACGTGTGACAGCTTCAGTGAGGTTTTCACTCACCCCATAATTCTCCTTTGAATCCTATGTTTATATTCTGTGCTCATCAGCTCCTTCTAGTGGTGGTTATAATGCGGTATTATAGACGCCTGTGCACATGCGGCTGGTCTTGCACAATATACAATCCTGAATTAGTATCTGTGGCCGATTGCCGTCCAGTACAAACTTTTAAGGTACATTGCAAGTTAATAAAAAGTTGTTTATGGAAAGGAAAAACACTGCAAGCATTAAAAATGCTTTATTTTTATTGATGACAGGGTCTCTTTAAAACCTAGCTGAACTCACATTTGCACTGTCATTGTAATGCAAGTTCAAACGTGTTTTCGTGCACATAACCGCACAGTCAAAACTGTGGTGTATGCGCACTGCTGTTTCAAAGGCATATATGACCAGAACAAACACACCTGCCACACATAGAGGGCCCACTGAAAATGAATGAGCAAGCTTCTTGCAAACACACACATTTTGTGTAAATGGGCCCTTTTAAATGTGTCACGCAGATCTCAACCTCAAAATAAAAAAAACATCCAAAATAAAAGGTTTCTTTTTGTAAAAATCTCATTTTTTCATGTGAATTGGTACTTTATTCCAACTACAAAATTCATACATGTGTTGATCTGCACAATCATTTCCGGGGATGCACTGCTGCTAAATGGGTGTACCGAGGCTTGTCATATAAAGCAAAGTCTTGGAAGACCACAGACTGCTATAGCCTAGTTATAGTTATAAAGCAAATTATCCTGGAGGTGGGATCTTGGCAATTCAAGATTTCAGCATGGGACCTGCATGTTATCAGCGGAGAGCAGGAGTGGGCAAACTACGGCCCCCTAGCTGTGGTGAGAACACAAATCCCATCATGCATCTGTGTCTGGGAGTCATGCCTGTGATTGTGAGAATCTTGCAATGCCTTATGGGAGGGATTTGTAGTTCCACAACAGCTGGAGGGCCGGAGGTTGCCCACCCTTGGCGTAGAGTCTCCCAATGTGGGACATAGTCAGTATGCAGCAGAATGGGGGTAAAATTGTCCTAGTTTAGGGTTAGGTTAGTCTAAGGGCCCATTCACACCATAGCACTGCGTTAAGCATAGTGCATGCACTATTTCTTTCGCCGCAACACAACCCACGATATTGCACACGCTACGAGGGTAGGCCAATAAGTTCTTACCCTCACCATGATGTAGATGTGCTAGGGATCTGAAATTTTGCAGGTTTATAGGAGGATATCTTAGTAATATGCATGCCATTTTTGTAGGTTGTGGTGAATTATAGTTAGAGCCAAGAGAAATGGAGTAGGTGTCATAAAAGTTGAATACCGATTACTAGCTGCTCAACTTTCGCCACCACACTTGGTTCTGTGGCAGTTGACGGACGACCTTCCCTTGGGTCATCCTGTATATTTGTGCGACCGCACTTGAATTCTCTCTTCCATCGTTTGACAGTCTCATATGATGGACAATCCTCTCCATACACAGCTGACATCTCTTCATGGATTATTTTGGCAGATTTCCCTTGAAGATGGAGGAACCTAATCACGGCTCTGTATTCAACTTTGTCCGGCATGACACCTACTCCATTTCTCTTGGCTCACCACGACCTACAAAAATGGCATGCATATTACTAAGATATCTTCCTATAAACCTGCAAAATTTCAGATCCCTTGCACATCTAGATCATGGTGAGGGTAAGAACTTATTGGCCTCCCCTCGAACAATGTAAGGGGGTATATTGGGGTGCCATTCAAATGAATAGCATTACAATGCATGTAGAGCATGGTGACATTTTCTAGCCGCCCCGTGCAACAACATGCATTCATTGCACAATATGGAGCAATTAACACAATGTTTTGGTGTGAATGGGGCCTAAGGCTTACGGGTTCAGGGCCTAAAGCTAAGGGATATATATACACACACATACACACACACACACACACACTTTAGAACCTTGGTTCTCAACTGGTGGGTCGTGACCCAAAAGTGGGTCGCGGCCCTGTGTTCAGTGGGTCTCCACATGCCTTCCACTTTTCTAGGCGAGAGGCTCCTCAGCCTCCCCCCTAGAGCAGTATTGACCATTCTCACACCGAGCAGCCGTTCAAAATATGCTGCCCAGCACAGAGTGTCGACATGAGGTGTTGTGGGATGGGGGTATGGCCGCCAGGGAACTTTATCCATACATGCATTGCTTACAGCTCCCTCGCATGTCCTGTAGAGGTGCCTGGACTGGAGTGACATCACATTCTGGCTCCTGACACCTCTACAGGTGCGCATGGGAGCTGTACAAGCAATGCACATATGGATGGGGCTCCATCACAGCAGCCCACTGCCGTGCATTCAATTGCAGTGCGATTTGGGTCGCAACTTAATGACCGAGGACAAATATGGGTCTTGAGGTTACACAGGTTGAGAACCACTGCCTTAGAAAGCCATTCGCCCTGTAAAACTGCACATACGTTTCTTCTGTCTGGGGACGCACCTCCAAGCTCTACATCTTGCATATATCAGAATCCTTTTTAGCCATTAGGCGCTCATGCAAGGAATGAAACAAAGGATCATAGCTCACTCTGTAGTAAATAAATAAAAACACGTTTATTAAAAACTACTCACAATAAATGACATGAATAAATGTCACTCGTTGTGAGTAGTTTTTAATAAACATGCTTTTAATAATAATTAAATAAATAATAATGAGTAGTTTTTAATAAACAAGAGCTTGGAGGTGCATCCCCAGAGACCGGAGGGTGAAAGGGGACAAGCTATATTCAGACCTTGTTTCAGAGGCCTGCGGAATAGGCGCGCGGTTTTCCTTAAGTGTATAACACATGAGGAGAGGGGGTGACACCTTGTTTTGAAGACACAGAGTGTGGATGAGGAGTGATGGTGGAAACATCTAACATCTAATTGAAGACATACATGAGACTGCACTAATTGGAGCACCTTATACGTGTTTGGATTGCACTATAAATGTGAAAAATACTTTTTTTTTTAGTTAATTGCATTGCCGCAGTATTTTGAGGGATGAGCACTGTAGCACGTAAAAGATGCCCCCACAAAAGGTGGCACAGGTTGCCTGTGGCATTTTTTATAGGGGCATCTTTCATGTGCAATACTAAACCCCACCCCCTTTTCAATTGATAGATAGAAATATATTATACCTGAGTTTGTCGGAGACTGGGGCTGCGCTGGCAGATTGTGTCAGGGACCGTACAGTGTGTGGTGGGGCTGGAGGATGATTATGTCCCTCTTTCCCTCTGATGTCACTTCCTCTCAGCACTGCTGCAGAGGAAAGGAAGAGGGAGGGATGACCAGGCACAGTGGGAGGAGGCGGCAAGTGACAGCGCCGGCGGTATGTGCGGCTGAATCCCCGGCGTCAGGTGGGCTGAATCCCGGGCACATGATTCCAAAACCGGACTGTCCGGGTAAATCCCGGACGGTTGGCAACCCTAGCGGGTGTGTGCTGCATTTTTTCACAGTGCACTGGATTCCACTGCAGGTTGCACATGGCAGCGCAGCACACCATGCTGCTGTGCACGGACACTGTACACTACCAATAAAGCTAAAAAGAAATAATGTACACGTTGCCAGAGCTGCCACAACGCAGCATTTCAGCGGACAGGCTAGTGTGAATGGGCCCTTATAATGACAGCGCTGTGCAATGCGATACAACCCTGGTTGTCTCAGAGTGCTGACCGCCCTTCTCTAAAGGTACTGCAGCGCTATCTAGGGGCGTTAGTCCCATGCAAACAGCATCCACCCAGCTATACGCTTAGTGGATGTTTTATAAATAAACCTGTGTAAATGAACTGTGAATGATTCTATTAATGAATACATAAGGGGATTAAATGAGAGGTTAAGTGATAGGGCCATGTAAAAGGTTCATTTTAAGTGAAGTGTTAAGGGTTAAACATTCATTTTAAGGGTTAAGGGTAACGTTATGGTTAGTAACCAGCAATGAATGTAATTCCCGGTTCCCTAAATCAAAATGATATCCATTGTAAGCTTCTGTAAAAACATCTCAGCATTGAAAGAGAACCATCGCCCCCTAAACAAACTATAATTTCCCCCTGAGTTCTGGAGATGGATTGGGCGTGGCAGTGTATTGAAGTCAATGGCACCGTAGCCACTCCCCCTGCCCGCAGAGCGATCGGACGGGTAACAAAACAGTGCCTGTGTTCTGTTCCACTGAAAACGCAAAAAATGCTGCTTGCTCTATTATTTGCGTTTGCAGTGGAACGGAACGCAGGCAATGTTTTGCCACACGTCCGATCGCACAGCGCGTGGGGGGTGTGGCTGCGGTGCCATTGACTTCAATGCACCGCCACCCCCCTTCCCGCCCCAGAACGCAAGGGGGAGTTTTGTGAGAGATTGCGGTGCGTTCCAGCAGCTACCACTCTGGTTAGTAGTAGCTACCAGTAGCTACCACTCTGGAACGCACCGCAATTGATGTGAACAAGCCCTGAGCTGGTCATACACCAGTAGAATTTCAATAAAAAGAATTTGTTCGGAACATTTAATTTTTCTATTAATGGGGTCAAACTGATCAATTTTTAGTGTAGTGACCAAAAAAATGTGTTTCTTGAAGGAATTAAATTCTAACATTGTGGTTTTCATTCAGGAAACTCTACTCATGCCAAAATCAAATGTTAAAATGAAAAGAGATTTCAAACATTCTACAAGAGTCTCTGATGGCATTATCGAAAGTCATGACTTTTTGTATGAAGGTTCATACAAAAATCTAGTGTTTCGAGGGTCTGCCATAGCCGGCCAATTTAGACAACAGCCAATTAGCACTAGTCCTTCACACATGCAAATGGGGCCAAATTCATACGATTTCCTGGGAACAGGAAGCACTGTACAATCAAAGGACAGATGCCATTGCACAGCCTGCGATTACCTACAGATGACCGCATCAGAATATAGACTGCATCCTGTTGTAATTTTATACAGGCTGTGACATTTGCCATTGGATTATACAGCACTTGTCTGCAGGAGATCACGAGTCTCATACGTTTGCCCCCATCTGCAGGTGTGAAATCTACCAGCATGTCTTTGTATCACCCGGAGGAAACTCACACCATTACAGGAAGAACATGCAAACTCCATGCAGCAAACGCCCAGACCGGGATTCAAACCCGCAACCTCATTGCAAGCCGCGGCTTAGTACATGTAGCAGTGGTCAGCCCTGGCTGTACTACTGGATGCGGCCGATAGGTGGCGCTGCAGGCTGTGAGTCGCTGTCAGCGTTTGTTTATTGAAGTAGTTGCAGGCCTGGCTGCTCGGCAGGTAATAGGAGAGCTGTAATGTGGGGCGTACTGGTGTACGGGGGGGGCTGTAATGGGAGTGCTGGTGTACTGGATAGAGAAAGGTGGGGGACACGCTGCCTTTCTACACTGCAGATCGGGCTTGCAGCTTGTGTTGTCCCCCCATGTGCACGCACGTTGTCAGTGGCAGGCATTGCCCGTCACAGATCGGCTTCAGAGGTCAGCTCGGCAGATCATGCGATGTGACCCTCAGGGGACAATGTACACATGTCATGTGTGGGTTTGTCATGGTAGCATGGTCTTAGTCTGCTGTCTGGCTGGGTTTATGCAGCAATCTGAGCTCCATTCACTATCTGGGAAGTATAAACAAACTTCCTCCTTCACAGATCAACTTCTGCTGTGTTTGGGGGCTCATGCAAATGGACAGTTGGATTGCAGTGTTCACATGCAGCAACAAACTGGATAGTTAGCTGTGGCCAGAAACGCGTCTCTAGAGGCAAACGGCATGTGTCCAGGGCCAGTCAGAGGCTCTAAGCCCATGTACATGCTCAGACTGTGCTTACATGCAAACACTGATACTGATATGTACAGAATACATGTGTGGCTGCAGATAACTGGACATTGCTTGTACATGGGGCAAGACTTCTCCAGCCTGCAGAGAAGCTGAACGCCTGTGTGAATTGGCCTTGAACCTGCCTTTACAAGTGACGTGTTTATGTGTATTTCTACGCATTATCTAGTCTGCTCCTGGATGCACAGAATTCTATTTTCTTTAAAGACAAATCCCACCTTTTTAAATGGAAAAAAAAAATCATAAAAGAAAAAAACAAACTTTTTTTTCCTCTGGAGCCATTAACCACTTCAAGACTAGGTGATTTGACCCCCTTCCTGGCCAGGCAATTTTTCAGTGTTCAGCGCTGAGGTACTTTGACTGACATTTATTCCGTCATGCAACGCTGTACTGAAATTAATGTTATACCATTTTTTGGGGACAGATAGCGCTTTCTTTTGGTGGTATTTAATCACCACTGGGGTTTTTATTTTTTACTATAATAAGGAAAAATTATTGGAATTTTTGGGAAAAAAAGTTTTTCCCCCCAGTATGTTAGGAAACAATGATTTATTATCCATATTTTTGGTCAAATATAAAAGACGGGGTCACATTAGGGGGGGGGGGGGCGTTCTTCCTACTGACCACCAATGTAAAAGGCATTACCCCATTCACACCAGTGAATTGGTTTTAATAAGGGTTCCCCAAGATCTTAAAGAAGAACTCCAGGCATTTAAAAACGTTCCCTTGCAGTGGGGATGCCCCTGCACTGCAAGGGTTAAGTGTTCTTTTTTCTCTCAAAGGGATGGAGTAAAGCAAATATACTTGCCTAATCCTGCCAAGCAGCTAGACCGATCCCCTTAATCTCTTCTTCCCTGGACTCCGGTGGTCTAAAGATTGATGATGTCATCACATTGAATTCAGGTCCATTGACTTGCATTTGATGTGAGGACACAGAGGGACATTTCTTAGCCGTAGGGGAGGTGAGTGCCGACCACCACAAGACCAAGGATCCGGTGAGCACATATGCTTTATTCCAGATCCTAGAGCAGCGGTCACCAACTGGTGGTCCCTGAGAAAATTTTTGTGCTCCCCGGGCCCTCCACTCCACCAGCACTGCCACTCCTGCAGGCACACCCACACCCATGTATATATGTGTATATAGATATATTCTCATTTTTTGTTTCCTCATATATAAATATATTCTCGTGTGTGTGTGTGTATATATATATATATATTAAATTCATATTAGTGGTCCGCGGGATTTAAAATTATGAATTTAGTGGTCCGAAAGGTTGGCGACCGCTGCCCTAGAGAAAACTAAGCACTTAACCCTTGCAGTGCAGCAGTTGGTCCACTGCAAGGGAAAGTTTTTGTTAAATGCCTAGAGTTCTTCTTTAAGGTCTCAGGGAACCCTTATTCATTTAGCTTGGTCCCGCAGCGGTCGGCACTCGCCTCTCTCCCCTTCCGCTCCGGTTGTGAAATGTTCCTCAGTGTCCTCACATCAAATGCAAGTCCGTAGACCTGGATTTGATGTGATGACACCATCATTTCTTAGACCACCGGGGCCCAGGGAAGAAGAGGCTGTGGGGATCGGTCTAGCTGCTCGGCAGGATCGAGGATCAGGTGAGTATATCTTTATTCCATCCCCTAGAGAACAACGGGCACCTAGCCCCTGCAGTGCGGGGGTAGCCCTGCTACAAGGGAAAGTTTTTGAAATTCCCATATTTCCTCTTTAATATTATTTTAGGGGTTCCTCTGGGGTAAAAAGGTTGAGAGAAGTTGCTCTATAGTGCCCGAACAAGCACCTTCATGGCAGCTATTATTGTAATGAAAACTGCAAAGCTAAAAATAATGTAAAATTACTTTTGAAACATTAACATAAAGTTTTATTGATTGGCTTTGTGTTGCTTGCAGTCTTTTTATGGGAAATATTTTTTGGATTTTGTCCATTGCTGATTTAATGTGTTTTGATTCTACAAAATGTGTGCTTTCTATAATGAGAATGTTGTAATAAATAGTAATTCTCCAGTGTGCATAGTAGGTGAACGCTGGGATTTGGCTCTTTGCGTTCTTCTTATTAGTTGTGATACGGCTGTTCAGAAAGCAATCTGTATGAGCTTGGACTGGCTATGTCCACATCTTTTTACACTCCTTTACCCCAGACAGATGTCAAAAACTACACCGGGTGATGTTTGTATGCCAAGCTGCTTTGGAGGAAGCTGGCCAGTCAAAAGAGGGGGGGTCCATTGTCAGCAAATTTCAGATGCCATCCTCTCTGCTCACGTAGCACTTTATAGAGTGCGATGCCTGGAACTGCACGTCTCCTGTAAATTGGCTGTGACTCAGGCTGTGCGCTTAGGGCTTCCTCAAAGTCTGCAAGGCACAGGGTACACTGCTTTCCTGTCTGTGTCATGGTAAGATGCTGAGTGCTGCAACCTCTGAATTCAAACCATGTTTAACCTTCTGGTCACACTTCCATTTATCCATCAGCTACACAGGTGACTGAATGGGTTCAGCAACTCTGAAGTGTGCTTCATTTCTACCAAATTAGGGCTATAAAATGTCTGTATCAGGGATCAGATTTTCTGTCTTATTGTTTTCTGCTACATTTCTATGTGCTGCAATATCTGACATGCCTATTTCCATGTTTTTGTGTTTTAGGCAGCCTAGTTAGTCCTAATGATTTTTCTTCAGTTCCACACTCGGAGACTGGTAACCCAGGTTTACTTTGGATTGAAGCCAGGATCAAGAAAGAAGGGCATTGCGGTTGATATGGCGCGCCCAAGTTCTAGTAAGTATCACTGTGTTGGTAGAACGGGTCTACAGGTTCGTTATAAGATGTTCTTTCCAATTGTTTAAAGTGAAAGTCGGGAGTAATCTTAAAAATGCATTGAAATACTTTAAATATGAATGGAAATGTATCTTATTTGTTCATCACTCAGCTGTATATCCTCAAATCATCTCTGAATTCATGCTGACACTGTCCTTCCTTCTGGAGGGTGGCTACTTTTGTTCCCCACGGTCCCTGTGTGTGTTGTAAAGTAGCCACCGCTCCAAGCTTGCTCCCATGATGGACTACAATCTCAATACAAATTGTTAATTGAATAAAAGATTGCAGTCCATCATGGGAACGAGCTTGGATCGGTGGCTACTTTACAACACACACAGGGACCATGGGGAACAAAAGTAGCCGCCCTGCAGAAGGAAGGACACCAATTCAGAGATGATTTGAGGATCTACAGCCGAGTGATACACAAATAAGATACATTTTTGTTAATAGTTAAGGTACTTGAATGCATTTTTAAGATTTAACTCCTAAATTTAGTGATTTAGCTGTTTAGCATGGATGGGGGAATAAATTGACTTCTCTTGCAGGATATAACAAGAAAAGTCCTAAAAATTTATGGCTAGCCTTAAGCTGGGTATACACATTTTTTTTCCTTTAGTCTTGCCGGCTGAATGAAAAAAAAAAAGACATTTCTTAATTCACACTAACAGCGTGGATGAATGAATCTCCCGCTGTACAGTGTATTCAGACAGTCACACCGGCTTTTGTTGGCATACTCAAATAGTGCTTGAAGCTGATTGGTTGCAAGGACTGTTCAGGCTTTTTCTAGCATGTCTCTGCGGCAAAAGTCGATCTAGTGATTGACTTTTGTCAAGGGGATAGGGCCACCCATGGATTACATTTCAGCTGATTCAGCAGAAACCATGTCTACCCAGCTTTACTAGTTTAAAATGTTGGATCACTTATTAGGTAGAAATTGCTTCTAAATTGCTCTGCCTGCTTTATCTCACTTTATTTGCCTGAGTAGCGCTTTGGAGTCTATCCTTGATATACATCAGTGCTTTTGAGCTTAGTGAGGAAACAAAGATTAGCGAAATACCATTAGCAAAATGATCTTTCAGGACAGTGGGGGCAGTTACTGCCATGGAAATCCTACACAATTACTAAGCTGACAATTGGAGAAGATTCCTGCTGTATCCCTCCCTCTTTCCGGAAGCAAAATAGTGTTTTTACACTAAGCCCTAAGGCTGGGTTCACACCTAGGCGTATCGAATATGCGCGCTTGTACCGCGATTCGCGGTAATAAAAAAAAACGCGCGACAAACGCGTGTTTCCGAGGGCTACCTGGCTGTATCCCAATGGATACGCGTGGCAAATACGCCCCAAAGAAGCTCCTGTACTTCTTTGGGCGTAGGGCGTTTTGCAGCGCGTTCCTATGCGCTGTAAAACGCCCAGGTGGGAACCATGCCCATAGGCAATCATTGGTTTTCACATGTTGAGCGTTTTACAGAGCATAGGAATGCGCTGTAAAACGCCCAGGTGTGAACCAGGCCTAATACCTCTTAGTTCTGTCGTGCCATACCTAGGAGTCATTTCGTGAACTCATTATGCATGCAGTATTTTATTATCGTACATTATTTGTTCATTGTTACACACCCATTAATGCATGTAATTCACTAAAGGTTTTATTGGACAAATCAGTTACATTTATCACATCGACATTATATTCTTGATTTTTTGCAGTATTTCTTCTATAAAACTCAATTCACAAATATTATAACACAGGTTAATGCGTCATAACACGTTTCTAGCTTAATGGTATTATTTGTGCGGCATTATAAGGTTTCTGTTGAAGAAAACATTAAATGGAGCCCTGGGAGGTGGAAATAGAATATGTTTAATGAGTAATGCCGTGATGAATGAAGGCTTGCTGTGGGTAACTTTTTCATGCAAGCAAATAACAGTTTCACACAATCGCAGTGTATATGTAGGTGAATTAAACAGATTAATGAGAATGTGTGTGAGCTGATGAACAAAGTGAAGCTTAGTGAATCGATTTAATTGGGGGAATGGTTCAAGTATTTCACATTCAGTTCAGAACTAGTATAGTAAGATTTGCTAATTAATGTTTCTTCATATTACTATGCAGTTGTATATTTTTATCACGTGAGTAATATTATAGGTATTATAGGTGTATTTTAAATGGTAGAGACAGAATATCAACCAAAAATCCAGAAAAAACACATGATACAAATGTTATAAATTGAGTTGCAGTTCAGTGAGTAAAATAAGTATTTGATCCCAAGAGCAAAACATGACGTAGTACTGGGTGGAGAAACCCTTGTTGGCAAGCACAGAGGTAAGACGTTTTTTGCAGTTGGTTACCAGGTTTGCACACATCTCAGGAGGGGTTTTGGTCCACTCTTCTTTACAGATTTTCTCTAAATCCTTAAGGTTTCTTGACTGTCACTTGGCAACTCAAAGTTCCAGCTCCCTCCATAAATTTTCTATAGGATTCAGTTCTGGGGACTGGCTAGGCCACACCATGTGCTTCTTCTTGAGCCACTGCTTTGTTGCCTTGGCGGTATGTTTTGGGTCATTGTCATGCTGAAAGACCCATCCACAACCCATCTTCAGTGTTCTGGCTGAGGGAAGGATGTTCTCATCCAAGATTTTACAATACTTGGCTCCATCCATTGGCCCCCCAATGCGGCAAAGTCGGCCTGTACTTTTAGCAGAGAAACAGCCCCAACGCATAATGTTGACTGTAGGAATGGTGTTCTTAGGGTCATAGTCAGCATTTTTCTTCCTCCAAACACAGCGAGTTGAGTTAATGCCAAAGAGCTCAATTTAGGTCTCATCTGACCACAGCACTTTCTCCCAATCCTTCTCTGAATCGTTTAGATGTTCATTGACAAACTTCAGATGGGCCTGTACATGTGCCTTCTTGAGGGACCTTACGGGCGCTGCAGGATCTCTATCCATGGTAGTGTATTGTGTTACCAATGGTTTGTTTGGTGACTGTGGTCCCAACTGCCTTGAGATCATTCACAAGCTCTTCCCGTGTAGTTCTGGGCTGATCCCTCACTTTTCTCATGATCATCCTTACCCCATGAGGCGATATCTTGCATGGAGCTCCAGACCGAGTGGGATTGATGGTTATTTTGTATTTCTTCCATTTGTGAATATTCGCTCCAACAGTTGTTCCCTTCTCACCAAGCTTCTTGCTGATAGTCTTGTAGCCCATTCCAGGCTCGTGCAGGTTTACAATCTTGTCCTTTTGACAGCTCTTTGGTCTTGCCCATAGTGGTGAGGTTTGAATGGAAGAAAGAGATCCTGTGGACAGTTGTCTTTTCTATACATAACGAGTTGTCGTTAGGAGCACCTTCTTAAATTGACAGGACTAATCTGTGTACCACATAGCCAGTCTGTGGGAGCCAGAATTATTGATGGTTGGTAGGGGATCAAATACTTATTTTACTCACTGAACTGCAACTCAATTTATAACATTTGTATCATATGTTTGTTTTTTTTCTTCTGGATCTTGTGGTTGATATTCTGTCTCTATCATTTAGAATACACCTATGATAAAAATGATAGACCTTTCCTTTCTTTGTAAGTGGGCAAACTTGCAAAATCTTCAGGGGATCAAATCATTATTTTCCTTACTGTATATTAACATTGTCCTGTGCCATGTAAAAGCCAACCCTTTCATTTCAGTTTTGCATAGTTGCTAGCAAGCTAAATTCCATTTTGACTTGTTTTCTCTCAAGGTTTACAGTAATGAGATATCCTCACCAGAATTCCCAGTTCTGTCCAACGCAAATGGGCAATACAAAGCCAACTCATGGTGTCATATACTTCTCCAGTGAATTTTCTAAAATGTAGAATATACAGATAATTGGGGAGTCCAGCAGTAAGAAAGTCATACCTTCTTCTGGTCTTGTTGGAGCTTGCTGAATCACAGACTGCTACAAGTAAAACACACCACTCTAGTCTTCCAGAGATGCAATAAGCTGGCAGATGATGTACAAAATAGATGTCTTTTGTTTTGCATACTAAATAGTAGTAAATGAACACAGCACTTTCTTAACCTTACATTATTTTTCATATGTAACAGATCTGGCTGACTTTCGAGAAGCATTTGCTAAGGCAAAGCATATAGCAGTTATTACAGGAGCCGGGGTTAGTGCAGAGAGTGGAGTTCCCACTTTCAGGGGTGCTGGAGGATACTGGAGAAAATGGCAAGCTCAGGTAAGCATTGATATCAACTGTATAGTATTCAATCTGTTATACTTGCAGAAGTTGTCCAGGCACAAATTTGATTAACCGTTGCAATAGGGCTACCCCCCAGCACTGCAAGGGTTAACTGCTCATTTATGCTTAGGGTAGAAAAAAGCTTTACTCCCCTGATCCTCTGAGCCAACCGGTGCCTGGAGCGTGTCTCCCCCTCTGCTGTAGTGGTCTAAGGCCCTTGAGTCATCACATCCAATACACAGTAAATTGGACATGAGGACAGCAAGGGACATAACCAATGCTGCAGTGGAGGAGGAAACAGGCTGGAGGGAGTGCTGCAGACTCTGAGAATCGGGTGACTATAACTTTTTTTTTTTTTTACTGACCCTAGGCAATAACAAGCAGTTAACCTTTGCAGTGCAGGGGTAGCCCCACTGCAATTGTTGATAACATTTGTGCCCAGAGTTCTTCTTTATGGAATAATTATGAGAGGGTAGGTCTGTTAAAAGCATCAGCTGTAAATCAATGATATTCTTTAAGCTTTTACTTACAGATAGGTCGTATCCGTAAGTAAAGGCTGATGTGTCTTGAACCAGTTGTAGTGAAAAAAGAAGAGATGATGCGTTTCCTCATATCAGCCAATTAAATTACATCTTTTATCACTTTAACTAGAAAATAAATCTCATTGGAGTCATCATGCCTCACTGCTCCCTGTCCACCTCCATTCACCAGGTTGTGTGCAAACATTACAAATGTTCTAAAATGACATGTATGTGTTTATTGCAAACAAAGCTTTACGGAGACCCCAGATAAAATGCATGGCAGTGATGCAGCATATTGCTTTCTGCTGCGTTCCGGTATGTCCATTGTCTGCTCCTAAAGCAATAAAAATAACTCACTGGAACAAATAAACGTATTTCTGTCAATGATTGAGAGCAAATGTTAATTAGTGAGGTGTTTAAGAGATGTAAACCTTTACAATGAAGGCAAAAGAGATGATGAGATGGTTGAACTTTCTGCTCACTTACACACTGTTTCAAGATAGGATTTTTATAAACCCACAGAATAAAATTTATGGGGGTCTATTTATAAAAAAAAATAGCATCCAGTGAAACTGCAGGTACATTTGTTCTGTGCAAGTTAACCAGCTGTTGTGAGAATGGGGCAAAAATGAATGTTGTTAATGTATTTTCTCTTCTGGTCGACAGTTCTTCAATAAGTTAATTCATAAAGAACAGAGTGAATGGGGAAAATACAGCATTATGGCCAATTGATGGAGCGGAGGATCATAGGAAATAAATGCATGTTAGTAACAAGATTCAATGTTATGATTCTAGTGGGTAGTGGAAGGAATGAGTATATAAATGTAACCATTGATACTACGGGGATAGCAGTGGTTACATTGATTTGATCATTCCATTCAGCTTTCTCTTGAATTGTAGTTTAAGAATTGTAATAAGAAAACTGTTTCCATAATTTCCTCCTAGCACTTGGCAACACCTGAGGCCTTCGCCAGGAATCCCTCTCGTGTTTGGGAATTTTACCATTACCGAAGAGAAGTGATGCTGACAAAAAGTCCAAACCCAGCACATCTAGCCATTGCAGAGTGTGAAGCTCGGCTCAGCAAGCAGGGGAGGAAGGTGGTGGTGATAACACAGAATATTGATGAGCTGCATCGCAAGGCCGGGACACGCAATCTCTTTGAAATACATGGTAGGCAGGAGGTGTGGTTTTGTGTTTAGCCTTCAATAACCAGATAACAACCACAGAAAAGTTAACCTTGAGTTCTACTACAGTAAGATTGTTTTTTATCACTTTGATCAAACTGATATAGTATTGGCCCTTTTGAATAATGCTTGTGATAAAAAAGAAGTGTATTTATGAACTGTATTTTATTTTGAACTAGGTAGTTTATTTAGGACCCGATGTAACACTTGTGGCAGTGTGAAGGAAAATTACAAGAGCCCTGTATGTCCTGCTCTTGAAGGAAAAGGGTAAGATGTTTTCATGTTTTTTATACTTATATCTAATTTCTGAGGTTAGGGTAGAACCAGGCCTGGGCAAGCAGTACATAATAATAGCCTTGATACTGCCATCTATACTTCAGACACACAATAACCTTAAGCACCCTGACTCCGGAGAGATCCTGGCTGCTGTATGGCTCTGATTTTTATCTGACGTTTATTTTGTGCAGTTAGCTGTCCTGCATGCTAGGTTCCAATAGTTGCCAGTATTCTCATCTACTACGTGTGTCTCTTAATCTGAGCCTGCAAGGTTGCAGCAATATGGCTGAAGCTCCGACACTGGACTTGCTCCACGTCCGCAAGCAGCGTGTCCTCCTTTACCCCTCCTTCACTGATTGCTTTCCTGACCCAACGCTCGTTGTCTCGGGCGAAGGTCAGTGCCCTCGAGCGTCGGGGTCTGCCAACCCACCTTCGTTTACCTCGGCTCTCATGCCTGTACTGATTGTCTGGATCAGGTTGCTCCCACACTGCACGCCTCCTGGCGCCGACGTTTTTCTGACACAATACCAGGCAGCCGCAACACAAACAACGTCTGGGCTGTTCTCCCCAGTCCCGGCGGTGTGTCTCAGCCCGCACTTACCCATGTCCTCCCACACGACTGTTCATCTACAGAACAGATCGCTAAAAGCCTCCAGCTCACCAGTGAGAAATCTCACCGGTCACACACCTCTGGCCAACCTCAGGGGCTAAACTCATCAGAAGTTCGGAATGCTACTGGAAAGACCAACCCCTCCCATAACCACTGGGGTTAAACCACTACAGCATCCACTTTAACATTTTCGAGGAATCAATGCCATCACCGCAAAACAGCACCTAACGCTGCTACCAACGCACAATCACCCCAAGCATACCAAGTAACTGGACAAACTTGGAGATCATTTCTTCCTCTTTAAAGTGAACTATCAACCTGGAATTCCACAACACCTAGGATTCCAAGAAAATCACCTCAACCTTTCGTCGATGACATCGCGTCACCACTTATTTCACGGTGAGTTGCAACATATCACACATCTGACCAACGTTTTTTGATTACTCACTTCTTCAACGTTTGTCTCCCGCTCTGGTTGTCTCTGCCATCATTCGAATAATACGACACCAGCCACTTCTGGATCCGTCCTTGCCACCACACATATCCCAATTTCCACAGCTCCAACAAACCAATCCATCGGGCCCACTCCCCACTTCCTGACAGGTCTCCGCTTGGTGGTAGTGCTTATCTCCTCGTTTTCTGTTTTTAAGGTTGCAGCCTTAGTGTTCAGTAGTTCAAGCAATAACCTTTTTCTAGGCCACTTCAGCCTTGTCCACCTACATTGGAAAAACAGGGAAAGGTTGCACAGCGCAGATGCAGGATCAATTGGAAGCCCTGTGAGCAGCCTGATTAATTTTGCTGAACTGAAACTTTTATTTAGAAAAGTATACAAATAAAATAAACCTGGTAAATGATTTGCACTGTTTGTCTTTAGTATAGCTATAATGTTATCCAAAGCAGAAAATTGGGGTGTTTGATTGTGGCATGCACCCCAGATGTACATCAACAAAAGTCTAATGCTGGCCGCTGGCCTGAGATTTGAGGGTGTTAGTTTTGTGTTGAGCGGCTGCTTTGTTTCATTGTAGAGAAAAAGCCTGATAATTCTGATATCATAAGGCAGGGGTAGGCAACCTTGGCACTCCAGCTGTTGTGAAACTGCAAGTCCCATGAGGCATTGCAAGGCTGACAGCCACAGGCATGACTAACAGGGGCATAATCAGATCTGTAGTTCCACCACAGCTGGGGTGCTGAGGTTGCCTATGAAGAAATCAAGGTATAGATTCATCACAGGTAAAGTTTGACTACGACACACTTGTCATGAGCAGGGTACCTGATAGTTTCATTGTTTACTTTACTAAACATTTTCTTATGTGTAATTGGATATGACATGATCTTGTTCCTTTATGTCTCTATTAGTGCCCCTGACCCTGAGGCTATTGATGCTGCTATTCCAGTCGAGGAATTACCAAGGTGAATATTTGTGGATAAACATCTTCTTAAAAAAGAACTCTGGGCATAAATATACTTAACCCTAGGGCTACCCCAACACTACAAGGGTTAAGTGTTTGTTTTTGTCTAGGGATGAAAATAACAAAGTTATACTCACGTGAACCTCGCAGCCAGCTGGATGTTAAACTGGTCCCTTCTGTCTGTCTCCTCCTCCACTCCAGCAATGGAATGTCCCTCTGTGTTCTCATGTCCTGTAGACTGTATCGGACGTGATGACTCACAGGACCTTAAGACTGTTGGAGAGGAGGGGGAGCGAGACTTCAGGGGCCAGTCGGCTCTGAGGAGCAGGTGAGTATATCTTTGTTATTTTCATCCCTAGATGGAAACGAGCACTTAAGCCTTACAGTGTGGGGATGGCCCCACTGCAAGAGTTAAGAATATGTATATCCAGTGTTCTTCTTTAATTTTAAATCAATTAATACAAAAAAACAACTCCGGGCACTGATTGTCCAAAGACCTTATGCCAGCAAGTTCCCATTAGTTGGCATTAATCTTGGTGGCTGGTTCTTGAGCTTTTGCCAGGGAAGAAGCAACCCTGGGTACTTGAAGTAAAGAATGATGTATTGTATCTGCTTGCAGGTGTGAAGAAAATGGCTGCCATGGTCTCCTCCGACCTAATGTTGTATGGTTTGGTGAGACCCTGGATTCTCATCTTCTGGAAGAAGTGGAGAAAGAGTTGGAAATATGTGACTTGTGTTTGGTGGTAAGTGGTACTGTGTAGATAAGAAAACACAGTAGGCATTTCATCTACTTCAGAGCCAAGATGTGCCAACAGCTGGTAATGTGCAAATATAAGTTTTGTCTTTGTACTTGTATCCTATTTCATAAAATCCATCCTATTTGTATGCTACATAATGCGTTATTTGTCATATGATGCAGTGATCCTATTTGTTAGTCATTCTGTCACATGGATTCCCCTGCAGGTTGGAACGTCATCAGTTGTCTATCCTGCCGCCATGTTTGCACCACAAGTGGCAGCTCGAGGAGTGCCTGTTGCCGAGTTCAATATGGAGAGCACACCTGCAACCATGGGCTTTGCGTAAGTGTGTTATACTTTCTGCTGTGTTCCTGCTAGATATGCATTAAGTAATTTTCACAAATCAGAATGTAAATGTACTTTAGACTCTGCAATTTGTACGTACAGCCTTTATATGACATTGCATGTTGCTGCACCTTTAGTAATTTACCAGTACAGTCTTGACAATGTGTGGTAGTCCAAAGTAGTATTACGTGCCTAAATCTAGGGATGCACCAATACCAGTATCGTGAAAATGGCCCGATACTAAGCGCAGGTACCGGCGCCTTCAATTTTGAGATGCATCCAGCTGCCGTAAGGCCCCGAACTTGCTGGGACACTAGGGCGGCTGTATACAGCGCCGGCCACAAATCTCCTCTTTCCCGCCGCTCACACCCACGAGATGCCACGCACAGCCCTGGTCAGACCCCGCACCAGCAGTGTGACGCAGAGACCAGCAGTAAAGAGGTCAGCAGTATGATGCATAGTGCAGAGGTCAGCGGTGTAAGGCAGAAAGAACAGGGACTTGTAGTGCACATAGCTGATCTAATTCAGGTGGCATCTTCCTTGTAGTGGTTGGGGGCTGGTATAGAGATGTATCCTCCATGTACCGAGGTGAAGGCTCTCGTCGGGACTCGTGCTGCAGAAATTTCCAGGCGGCCAATAGTAGCTCTGCAGTCTTCCAGCCTATGGCAGCTGAGGTGGGTGGAGGAAGCTGCAGGTGGCCAGAGGAGCCGAAGTGAAGGGAAGACAGCTGAACTGATTTCTCTGCACCTCGGCCGCTCTGTAGCTGCAGCGGCCAAGGAGGAGAAGGGAGGAAGAACTGTCTGTATTGTTTTAGAAAACAAGACGGCCCAAAAAAAGGTATTAGTAATGGGTATCGGTGAGTACTTGAAGAAAAGTATCAGTACTCGTACTGGAAAAAATGGTATCTGTGCATCCCTACAGCAAACCAAAAAACAGTGCTGCTCCAGGTCGGTCAATGTTACTCCACCTGAAGGGTGCCAGCCCAGCTTGCCTCTGGGAGAAATTCCACAAGAAGCAAAGAATGCTGGAAGCAAAGGATTCATTTACATTGGCATATCCAGAAACCATCAAGACAAACTGCTGTAATGCAATTATGCCCATCGAGTGGTTCCAATATAGCCACCCATGACATGAATTTTCGAGCTCTGCATGGTTACATTAGAGAGTGCCTACCTGAAAGGAGATGATTGATGCCATGCTTGCCTTGTATTAATACATATGCAGTGTACCACAAAACATGGCAGTGCGTTATTTTGCAAATATACAGTATATAGAAATAAAAAAAAAACACAAATCTAAAACATTAGCTTTAGAATGTATATGTCAGTGGCAGCTAAAATTGTATTTTTTTTTTGGTTTTGGATAGAGTATGGAAGGGTTTAAATACTATCCAGGTTATTTCTGTCTTTGGAGGAAATTCAGTACTTTTTCTATACTTTACCTGTTCTGTTCCCAGGTCAGTGGCTCAGGAAGCAAAGGGGAAGTCTAACCAACAGAGACACAAACAAAAATAAATCCACATTTTAAGAGTATTTCAGCTCCCTTCCAGGCACTCTAACTCCCTGTGTCTCATGGGTTTTGCAGGGTGTCTCCAGGACAGGAAGTGAGGGGAAATCTCCATCATGGAGGCACAAATAGAAAAAAAAATCTGACTTACTTTCTAAATCTTACATGCTTTTACTAAAATGAAGAGTTGTTTCTAAAACTTCTGGTATATAGAGAGATGCTACTTGATGTGAATGATTTTAGCTAAGTTGCTTAAAGGAGAACTATGGGGTAAGTGTTTTTTCCCCATAGTTCTCCTAAGTGTCACGTTCTGCAGGGACAGGATCGAGAAGTGAGCGAGCGACGGTATGCGTTCGGTCACTTCCCGATCTATTGTGACAGGTCAGCTCGAACTAATGAGGTTGAGTGAAGATCACTCACCTCATAGTTCTCCTTTTAACAATTTATATTAAAACAAAAGGCTCCTGTAGGAAAATTATACTCAATTCTCAAATCACACACTGTGCAAATCCTGATGGGCAGTAATAAGCTCACCCCTTGTTTGTGGTTAGTTTAAAATGATTCTCTAATATGCTCTAAATAAACTGTGGATACTCATGTTTTGCCAAATGTGTTAAGTGTCCACTAAATATAATCTGTTAACCTTTTTTCCTTTTTTTTTAAAATATATATTTAGGTTCCATTTCCAAGGTCCATGTGGAACAACATTGCCTCCAGCACTTGCTCGCCATGAAACGGAGCTTATCTCTTGAACTTAACTTGCACATTGTATTGTAAGCAACTAATGAACTGTTACAGTGTATGAGCAAAAGAAGGATTTGTTCAACAAAATGGCCGCAGTTTCTGGGAGCCTGACATTTTTACCACTTATTTTTGGAGTCTCTTGATGTCTTAAAAAATTGTTCACTTGCACTATAAACATTATCTTGCACCAAATATTCCTTCCCCTGAATTGAGCATAAAAAGAACATAGAAGTCACCAAAAATAAACTTACTGCAAATGTGAACATTTCAAACAGAATAAAATGAAAAACAAATCACAAGCAGAGTGAAAACAGCATGTTGAAATAATTGACAGGCCCAGTGATATAGCTGCTATATGCAAAGCTCACTCTTCCCGTTAAAGTCAAGCTTTGCCACTCATCTACTGTTCTCCCAAGTCCCTCTATTGTTCAGTGATACCACCCATTGCAGAGGTTGGCCAAACTTGAATTTTAGAGGAGACTTGGCACATCATTTCAGCTTCTTATATCTCTGGATCTGCTAATCACTTTGACATGAGATTTCTCTTTAAAGTAACCTCTGCTTATGTGTTACTTTTATCATCTGCAGAGTTTGAATTGTCCAGATTTATGTAATGCTTACTTTAATCCTTCTTAGGAGTGTTTTTTCAGTTTATATTGCGCTGCCTTGACACAACTGTTCAGCCTTATTTTTCTTCATCAGTAGGCTACAAATGGGGCAGTGTTCTGTAGTTACCCATAAAATTCTGATAACTACTTTTGTATAATTATCCCTTGTGTTACTTCCAGAAGTCTCCTGCAAGATCTATGCTTTGAAGCCCACAGGAAAAATTATCTGGCTCGTCCCTTGCTTCTTCTAAGAATGTGCAGAATATTCCTATTTATTACTATGGAGGGACCATTTATTATAAATCACAGCTATAGATGGCCTCTCCAAAGGAATGAATAGGATTTTCTCTGACAATGCGCACGAGAAGCGTGGAGCTGGCAGGAAAAACTGCAGCGGCATCTGTGCGGCTTCCTGCAGGCCTCACAAAATTAATCTCACTGGAAGGTGGACAAGTATGTGTTATACAACAGTATGGTTATCCTTTAATCAGAACTCCTTTAGTCTGCATACACTAAACTGATGAAAGATAGTATCTGGTTGGTGTGGGTTACTTCACACCACTGCTTTTGCACCATATTAAATGGATTCTTCTTACAGCCCCAGTTTTTTGTACATTAACAAATTGTAATGTAGGTCTTCCAGATGAATGTAAAAGCAAGTTTCTGCATCATTTTTATCTAGAACAGTAAAATCAAACATTACACATTATAACGAACAAAATAATGTAGGCTACAATTGCCATGCACACTACTCGTATGTTATGGGTTTTATGCAAACCTCTCGGGGACATCCTTAACTTTGGTCTGCATAGTACCATTGTTAGGATATGTTGATTTGCACATACAGACCACTTTATATACACACAATATTGCTGCAGAATTATCACTTTTGCAGCATAGAAGCTCTCTTCCTAAAATATCAGCATCAGGGACATCAATTAGATTTCAAATGCGTTTGTGTTAATCAGTTGCAGAATCAGTTTTGATTTTTTGTTTTGTCTTTTAGGCTTGTTGTAAAAATAATTTGTAAAACAAATAAACTAAACAAAAGCAAATGTTATGCTCGTCACTGCTGACACAATGTAGATCTATTTGCACTGTGGGAAAAGTATTTCATGCTTCTTAATTAAGGAACATTCTCTCCAGGTCAGTTGTGTACATTGCAAGGATTCTAACAAACATCATTTTAGATTATTTCCTATTTTTGTTCTGTAGATACTGAGGCAGGCAATTACAGCAATTCCTCAGCGCTAATTTGGAGGGTCTGCCATCTAGAATCACATAATCTACTCCCAGTACTATAATACCAGAAACTTCATCTCCAGTGCCCCTGTGGCTGTATTTCTAGTATATCACCAAAGATGAAAGGGTCACTGCAGTTAACTTAGGGGCCTGTTTACAACAGATGCTTTGGGGCTGCGCTGGCCGCTTTTTCCAGCCCAGACTAAGGCACGGACAAGGCATTTTGCCTTGTTTTATGTTGGCTCAGTTTACCTCACCAACTTACTGCATGCAGCACCGTGCTGTGCCAATAGAGTCTTCACTTGTGACACTTCAATAAAGTTCTAACAATAAAAGAAAACTCTGTCATATGACAGTTGGCTGCTCTGCAGTCCTCCTTGAGAAGTTTACTCTTTAAAGCTGGCCTGTATGGTCAGATTGATGTGCTGGACTTTTTTCTATCCTTGCTGTAGGTTGCCTAAACTGGACAAAATGGCCCATCTGTGGTGATGGAAAAAATCTTAAATATATGGATATTATGTACATGTGTTGAACACCCCTATTTTACAGATGACAATGAAAGTAATATAAGAGCCACATAAACACGTAAAACATGGCTGCTGTTAATGGTGAAAATACCATGATTTAAGTCAGAACGACCTGCATGTCACAGTATGACCTAAACTAATGCTAAATCCAATTACTAAAAAATCATGGTAATGTAATCTCAAAAGTTGTTTTCAATCTCTAGAAAGCTTCACCTTTTTATAAAGTGCATGTAAAGGCAATATAAAAAAAAATTGGATATAGTAGAGAAGGGTTAGACACCTGGTCATGTTTGTATTCCTATTTCCCCATTAAGATTTACCCCTTCTGTCCATCCTGGTATCCACTCCCCCCCACACTGAAAGTGAGGGAAAATTCTAACTTCTAAGTTGCCTCCAGAACAGAAATGGAGAGAAATTTTCCTATGCAGCTGCTGGTTTAGATGACAGCTGTCTGAGAGGATTTGTCTTACTTTGGAAAGATTTCCTCTCACTTCCTCTTGTGCCTGAAGAACAAGAAGTGAAGGAAACCCCCCCCAATGGACCCAGATGGTAGAAAAAAAAACCACAGGGTGTTAACCATAACCCATTTCATCCGGAATGGGGAAAAACAAGTTTGTATGGAATTGTAACTGTACTGTGTCTCTTTATTTTGTAAAGTGCTGTATGAATTTTTGGCTCCATATGAATTCTGTATTATTATTACATAGTATTTATATAGCGCCAACAGTTTGCGCAGCACAGTATAATAATAATAATAAAGACCAGCATGTCAAAGGTAAAGGCTATAAGACCATCTCCAGGCAATTTCCTGTGGCTATAAATGCGAAAAGTTTAGTTTTAAGGTCCATGGGAGTGTAGCCAGCCTCCCTGAACGTGGCCTCAAGAGGAATGTTGACCCCCAGAACAAAAGGATAATGCAAAGGTTAGACGAAGATCTAAGGAAAACTTCCAAAGAGTTACAAGCCCAACTCCAAGGTCAAAGTACATCAGTGTCTGTTTGCACCATCCGTTGCTTTTTGAGAGATAGTGAACTGAATGTAGGAAGACCCAGGAGGATTTCAATGTTGAAAGAAACAATAAATCCAGAAATGACCAGCACTCAGTAAATATCTTTGATGTCCATTTAATCGGACCAGTTGTCAATAGCGACTTTTCGGGACCGCACAGGATCCCTTCATCAGGGCGACAATGTAACGTCACTATTTTGTACATGACGATTGGTCCGATTAAATGGACATCAAAGATATTCACTGAGTGCTGGTCATTTCTGCTTTCCACTGTTTGTTGCACGGTGGCATACGTGATTGTCACTGCGAGCAAAACTACAAGTACTTGGGCCGGGAGCGCTGTGAGGAGTGCAGAGGGACTTACTATTTTCTACATAACAAATCCAGACTGGAAATTGACAAAATATATTTTGACAAACCACAATGCTTCTTGGAGAATGTGCTTTCGATAGATATGACAATAATGAAGCCTCTCGGCAAGTCACATCAGTTCTGTTCACATGAGAAAGAATAAAGCTTTCAAAGAAAAAAAAACCCACCGTGCCTATTGTGAAAAGTGGAGGAGGCTCAGTTATGCATTTGGCAGAGAGTGCCTTCAATCTATGAAGGGCACAATGGAATTTAAAGACTATCAAGGCATTCTGGAGCGAAACGTACTACCCTGTGTCAGAAAGCTGTCTTAGTCACAGGTCATCATCCTCCAAGAGGATAATGACCCCAAACGCACAGCTGAAAGCTCCCAAAAATGGTTAAGAACAAAACATGACTATTCTGAAATGGCCTTCTGTCAGCCCTGGTCTGAATCCTATCAAACATCTATGGAGAGAGCTGAAATATGCACTCTGGAGAAGGCATCTTTCACACTTGAGACATTTGGAGCAGTTTGTCAAAAAATGGTGGACCAAACTACCTGTTGGCAGTAGGATTGTCACCTTTTTTTTTTTTTTTTAAAGCAAAACCTGAACACTAGCGACAAGCAGACTTTTTTTTTTGGGTGAATGAGTCGTGGCTTATTCATATGTAAATATCACAGTCAAGACTATTATCAGTTGGCGGCCAGTAGCCCCTATTTTAATTTCGGTTGCCCCTGTCTGCCTGATATCTTGTGTCCGAGTTTCTGCTGCCATGAAACCCGAACACAGCATTCAAAACCCGGACTGTCAAGGTGAATGCTGGACAGGTGGCAACCCTAGTTGGCAGGAGCAAACATCTCTTTGAGAGGTACAGACATTCGCTTTTTTGCGGTGATTTACCTCCACATGTTGTGCAAAAAAATATTGGGTTGCGCAATGTTTGTTTAATTATATTGTGGAATAAAAAAAAATCAGGAAGCACACACAGATGGCTGGCAATGCTGCCACTAAATGCAAGGCAGTGGCTTAGCATGGTCAACCTAAAACAGGAAGCGCTGTTACTGGCAGGATCTCCAGGTAAGAAACTTTCCAACAGATTCACAAACAAATTATTCCCTTAAACATATTGAAAGCTTGATGTAAGTTTTAAATATACTCCAGAGGGAGGGGATTTAAGAGATAAGAGCTCATTTCAGAGGTTAGGTTAAAACAGACCATGAACAAAAACGCAAGGTTTACAGAAACATGTAAAAATGATTTTGCTCAAACCTTGGCTTTCAGAAGACTCGCCTAGATGTGAGTAATGTCACTAGGCCTTCTTTCTGGATTCTGGAAAACCAGAGGGTCCTAAATGCCTTCAAAGTGTCAGAGCGTTTCTCACAAATTCTGCTCTTCGGTCCAGCAACGTCAACAGCAGCTGCAGGAAGAGTGCAGAA